AAATCTGTGCAAAGGGTACCACATGGGCTGTGTTTCTCTCGTGTATGCACTCACAAAGAAGTTGCACTTGGCTGTAGCATCCCAGTATATGTATGCTACATGGGAATTCAATGTAACAGATCTAGATATGATGGCTACCCAATAAGGAAGGGAGGCGAAAAAAAGGTCTTGATGCGTTGAAGGATTGTGTAACAGCTTTCCATGTCAGACTTGGGAACTAATGGTAAATTGCAGACTGATCAAAATAAAATCCATGGGATTTTAATTGGTTTTAATAGAAAGCCCTGTATGTACAATGTAACACCTTCCTATTACTGTATTTGAGGTTGTAAACTGATTACAGATGCATTGTCTTATCTGTTAACCGATTACTTAACTGATTTATTTACACATTGGAAGTGCCTTTTTAGGGGCTCTGGGGGGAAAATACGATAGTTTCTTTTAGCTGTAAGGTAATTTACAAAACTAGCATGAACTGCTGTAATCTAGAATACTGTAATAACACCAAGAGAGGGATTTTAAGCAGGTCCGTTCAGTAGGGCTTACTCTGAGGAAGGTATTCTTAGGATTGCACTGCAAATGTCTTCAAAGCATCAGTGTACTGAAGGCCCATCAGTACCGTGACATATCTAGTACTGAAGATGTCTGCAGGCTGATTCCAACTGAGCATTATTGGCGTAAGCAACCCATGTCTCTTACTGTTTTGATGACAGCAACTATAATTTCTCCCTTTGTAGTAGGCTGTGTCCTAGCTTTGGATATAGACTGAAAGAAAATGCCACCTTTAAGCATCTTTGTTACCATATCTGGGAGAAGAGTACTCAGATACTCGTGCTCCAAAACTGTAACGTTTGCAAGCCCCACCAATTAAATAGCAGACCAAATTGAACTTTTGATTATACCAAATCGATGAAACCTCATCATTGTCATTTTAGTCGTATTTAATTGTTCACTACAAGAATTTCAAATGCATGCAGAGTGTTAGCATTGCTAATCTCATTTATCCTTACGCCAGCTCTGTAAAACCCTAATCCAGTGTGGTTTTATTTCATATATCAATAATTGATTTGATTTCATATGCCAATAATTGATTTGAAAGGCTGAAGGGTGGTGTCTTTTTGGATAGCAGCATTGAATGTTGAACATTGGCTCAGTTTTAGCCTGCTAGAGCAACCAGTTAGAAGGAGCAATGGCTGTTCAAAACCCAATTTTTTGCCATCAGGAATATGGAGGGTGAAATGTATGTGGTTTAAAGTTTTGGGGAATGTGGCTTTGGCTCACATTTGATAAGTTCCAACGCATTTGTTCTTAAGGGAGATTATGTATGTTCAAACTACTTCCACCTCAAATAGAATGTATGTCTTCACACAATGTGCATCTAGAGATAAACATCTATTTTCCTTGGAATTCCATGTGAGTATAAAGATCCACCACGGAGAATGTTTGAATTTCCGAGCCTTTGTTGAACAAGTTTTATTTATTTAGCTATTTAAAAGGTTAATAAACTTGCCTTTTTTTCCAGGCATCCCAGGATGCAAGTTGTTTACACATTCAGGAGTTTAGCCTTTAAAAGCTCAAGCAAAATAAAGCAGCAATCCAGTGGCACCTTAAAGAACAACAAATTTATTCAAGCATAAACTTTGTTGAGTGAAAGCTCACTTCATCAGAGGCATAGGAGTATAAATCCATCAGGACCAATTTAATATATATACTAGTAAGGGTGGAGGGAGAGTTTTTTGTTTCTTTGTTAATATACATTTCTGACATCTCAGTACATAAAAGTAGAAATATTTTCAGTGACTTTTTAAAATCTGCCACTAATGATCCATTCGTTGGAATTCATGTCGTAGGCAGAAGTACTTCCCCTGTGATCCAGAATATGTCTGCTCCAAATCATTACACAGAGTGCTACTGTTTTGTTGTGTTTGCCAATTCAAATAAACGCTAAGTGGTTAATGAGTAGGTGAGCTAAAACATTTTGTTCCACTTCTTTATCAAGTTGCTGGGCTCCACCTTTTGTGTATTGTTCTGCTTGATTGTGTGGCTTTGATGGTGATGTAACGGCCATTTGTGGTGGTGGTGGTGGAAAGTACCATCAACTCACAGCTGACTTATGGTGACCCTGTAGGGTTTTCAAGGCCAGAGACGTTCTGAGGTGGCATGCCATTTCCTGTGCCTGTGTCCCAACTCTGGACTTCCTTGGTGGTCTCCCATCCAAGTACTAACCAGGACCGACCCTGCTTAACTTCCAGGAACTGATAAGATCAGGCTAGCTTGGGCCATCCAGGTGAGAGCAGTTTGATTGTTTGTACCTGGATACTTTGAGAGTGTTACATCTACTGTGCTTTTTCAGTGGAGATAAACAACAGGTGACTTAATTCCCTTTCCCGTTGTTTCCAAACAACCTGGGGAATAATGTGTAGGATCATCTAAGAAATCTGGGGGAATTCTGTTACAAAGGGTGAAGTGTTAAGAGTTCATTTGAAGCAAAGACTGTAGTCAGCAAGGGGTCAAAGTCTTGTTGATAATTTCCAAACTGAGTGTGTGCCTGCATGTCA